ATCAGTACACAATAGTATGAACTACCACATTCCCCTAACTTGATCCCCTGTGGGGTTTTGGTTTTGGTTTGGTTTTGATATATGTTTTTTATTTTGTTTTGTTGCGTTTAGTTTAGTTTTCTGATACAGTCTGCGGAAACAACTCACAGACAATCACACAGCTGATGCTCAATGCAATGTTGGGCAAGAGGTCCATGCAAAGAATCGATCCGCACACCGCACACGTTAGAGAGAAGTGAAACTGGCATCTGGACCGTTTTGCGTAAAGGTTTAGTCAGTATGAAACCTTAGCTCGCCTGGCATACAGTAGGCCTAGTTAGTAGGCTACCCAGTCGACGGTCGGCGTTTGCAATAAAACTTGTAACCTCGCATTGCGCAAAAGACTACTAGATCTATAGTGCGGTCAAAAATTCGTGGTGCAACTTGTCCTCAAATATCTCTTTAACGGGTAAATCAATGTCATCCATACTTTGTATAGCTGTTTGTATCGATTTGTCTTTACTAAATCATATTTTTCTAGAACAATTCGGGCTTGATTAAAAAACTTTTCTTCATAAATGTATAAAAGATACTTGAAATCTCTGTCACACGTAAAATGGTATTGTTCACAGCACTTCCCGCTTCTCATACATATTTTGATTAGATCTACGCTTATGGCCTACGTCACAGTTCATCAATGACAATTTATACTTGCAAAATTTTTTACAAGAAATTATTGTTATAGTGAACACATTTTTCCACTACTGGCTGCCAAAAATGCGTTCAATAACCATAATGTCCCGATTAGAAAAACCTGACGGACTTGTTATTAAAAGCAATATTGCCCCAGCTGTAAACATTTACAAATCGGTAGAAACCTCCCACTTTGATTTTTTATTAGTATTTATTCAGGAATTTTCTAGAATACAGCTAGCAGGTGTTTACAAAAATGTTGATCTGTTAAGACAAATTGATACAAGTCACTGTTCAAAAATTGGAGAACCTATGTTCGATAGTTGAGGAGATATTTGAAAATAAGTTGTGCCACGAATTTTTGACCGCAGTATAGTTACAGAGAATGGGAGTGCAACATTTTCGATTGGCGGGCCACTTTCAAACCCTGAAACAATAATCAGGACAAGATGTAACCGTTAAAGTGCGTAATCTAATAATAATAACTTACACAAAGTTATTGAAATAAAAATGGTATAGGTTTTAATGCCTCTATCAACACTGTTGGGTTATTTAAGAGGCGGGACCTTCGAGTTTAATGTCCATCTCTGAAAAGACCAAGCCGAGTGGGAA